CACTGTATGCCCCACAACAGCGTGGTGCAGGGACGGTGACTTGCACGTGAAATATATTTTTAAGTGACTGCAGACCTGCGCCGCGTCTACCGCCGCACCCGCTTTTCCCTCACCCATTTTCGCCCGTTGTCAGAACAGAGTCAAGAAGACCGGAGGCAGGATCAGGTGCGGCCGAATCTGCCCCTATGCGTACCACCACGCCCCCCCCCGCCCATGTTCGGCATTTCCTATGGTTCAATCCGATTATATGTGGCACTCGTAGACGGGGAATAATAGCTCCGTCGGCCATTGCGTCCGATCCCAGCGCCAGATAGCGCACCGACTCGGACGGTGAACAGGTGCACAGGAGAGGGAAGAGCGAGATCAGTTTTGGGGACTGTTCCTACAGTACATCAACAAATTCCTTCAGTCTGGTGCGCTACCTCGTGCCTTGTAAAGCTACCAACGGACAGGATACATAAGTCCTCACAGCCATCGTTGCGTCTGTGGGGTTAGGGGTCCAAGAAGTGAGAGGCAGGTTCAACGGCTCCTTCTGAATATGACCTGTATGGTATTTTTTTGTGTAAAGCTAGCTTCTCTTGTGTGGACCAGGCTATTTGGCATACGTGGACGGGATGCTTAACAATCAGCCGCCTTCAGTCGCCTTGCCAGTGGACACAGATGGGTGAGGTAGGACAGAGTACGACAAAAGCAGTGCACGCCCGCAATCACTATAATCTACTTTACGCACAAGTTACAGTCCTATGTCCACTATACTGTGGGAAACACGATGGGCATCGTCACAGGAGACGGTCGGTCGGCTGGGCTCTCCTACAGTCCAAACACTGGAAGGTCGTTTCGGTCGGTTGTGAGTTGTCATACACCAGTAGAAGACGGACAGATTAAACGCACCCCGGGCGGATGTTGCACGAGGCAAACCAATTGACACAACGACCCACCGCCATCAAACAGCTAAGATTCCATTCATTTATAGGCTCGATCAGAACCAAAACATTCGCAGCCGCAATTACGTCAGCTTAGCGTCAAGGACCTATGTCAGGACCGGTGGCACAGACCGTCATTTCTTAGAATTTGCAGATAATCCTTCCTATCCGCGCCGTCCTCGTTCGATGACGACCACTTTACTGTACCTTCTGAATACAATGTAATCCAACCCAACTGACAGAATACACAATCAGTGCCCACGTGCTGTGATTTATGAATCGCTTTTCGCCAACAACGAGACTCACAGCCACACACGGCCTCGATTAACGCAAATAGGCCTGTCTTACCTGAGGCTTCGGCCCCTACGCCGGCCCTGTAAACACTGATGTCTATCTTTGAAAAATCGTGTTAGATTTCAAGCCACCTCTGTCTTTTTTGATCGCTCCATCCTCGATTTTGAGCTTGATTCTACTCCGGCAGGAAGGCTCCAATTCTCTGCTAATTTGGACACAAAAAAAACCAGACCAGTGTTCAGAGCAGTCATCTCTGAGATATTTCGCATTTTAGTACAGTAGTCGCCGGTTATTAAGCCCACGGTTAATAGGCCCAGCCGCT